GAACCGAATGGGCAGCCAATGCAGTGCGGCCAGAGTGGGTGAGATGTGTTGGTATTTTTTCACTCCATTAAGTAGTCTGGCATTCTGCACCACCTGGAGTTTCTGCAACAGCCTCAAAGGCAGCCCCATGCAGAGCGCATTACAGTGGTCTAATCTTGATATTACGAGTGCATGCACCAAGGTAGTGAGCGCCCCAACATCGAGATAGGACTGCAGCTGGCCTATCCACCGAAGGTGAAAAAAGGCGGTACGGACCACCGACGACACCTGAGTTTCCATAGTGAGCGCCGGGTCCAGATGGATCCCCAAGCTGTGGACCCCATTCCTGGCAGCAAGAGTCACCCCCCAAAAGAGAGGGAGTTTCCCAGACCCCCAACTGTGGGGGCGCCTACCCTCAGTACCTCCGTCTTGTCCGAGTTCAGCCTCAGCCCATTTTCCTGTATCCATTGCAGTACAGTCCCCAGGCAGCGCTGAAGGGACAGAACGGCATCTCCTGCGGTTGGTGAAAAGGAGATGTAAAGCTGAGTGTCATCAGTGTACTGGTGACACGATGTTCCACACCCCCTGATGACCCCACCCAGCGGCCTCATATAGATGTTAAACAGCATTGGGGAGATAATCGACCCCTGTGGAACCCCACAACTGAGACTCCACAGGGCCGAAACACTCTCCCCAAGCTGTACTCTCTCGGCGCGGTCCTCTTATATTTAGCCTTGCCCTTCCTCTTTATAGGTAATTTCTTGATGTGGCTCAACAAATATTTCAATGTCGATGTCGACTTGGACTTTGAGATCGATTTTGACTGGTCTTTCTGTCGAGGCAAAGGTGTTGTCAGGCTCAATACCGGACGAGGAACCTTGGTCCGTACCGCAGGAGGTGAGGTAGATTCCTTAGTAGTTGAAGGATGAAGAGACTTCTCCCAATGGTAAGATTGGAGCTGAAGTTTTAATGCTGGTTTTGTATGTTTTTTGCACTTTAGACAAGACTGAGTCTGGTGCTGCTCATCCAGGCAAAAAAGATAGCGATCGTGACCATCTGACAAGGGGTTTTTATTTGTGCAAAGCACACACCGCTTGAACAGCCCGGGGGTGCCATAAAAGGCGGCCGGGAGGGGAAGGGAACAGGAAAAGGGGAAATGAAAGTAATGGGAAAAAAGGGGGTGAGAGAACAGTAGGAAAATAAAGAAAAGTAACTCACGGGAGAATGTCAAATGAAAGGGAATTGACAGGGCAAGGCAAGTGAGAAGTACGTGAAGTACCGATTGTAAGAAAAAGTTGCTCTAGCACATCGAAAGAGGTCTAACCAAAGCGGCAGCTAAAAGGAACTGAGGGGACTTCAGGCGGGCAGAGCATGTGCTCCAGAAAGTCCCACTAATCACGTCTTTAAGCTCTAGAAACCCCCGAGAGGTCCTGCACAGGTGCAGTACAACCCAACTGTGTGCATTCACAGACACCACAAAGAAGAACCAACAGGGACACAGACCCCCTATCCAATTCCCAGAGTGGGTCATCCACCAAGGCAACCAAAGAAGTCACCATCCCATAACTAGGCCCAAAGCTAGACTGAAATGGATCTGGATAATCCAACTCATCTAGGACCCTCTGGACCTGAGAGGCCACAACCCGCTCTAGCATCTTCCCCAAGAATGGAGCATTAGATACTGGTTGGTAATTATTCAGTATTTTGAGATCCAAAGAGGGCTTTTTTAAACAATTGCCTTACTATTGCCTCCTTTAAGCATGATGGGATCCTACCTTGTTGCAAGGAGGCATTCGCTACTCCTCCTACGCAATCAATCAGTTCCTTTCTCAAAGCTTATATGAGCCAGGAAGGGCAAAGATCCAACAGGCACTTGGTAGCCCTCACCTCCCCAAGGATCCTGACCACATCATCAGGCTGCAGAAACTAAAACTCATCTATTAACACAGGGCAAGCAGGGGTCATAGTTACATTCACAGGACTTGAGTCAGCTACAGCATCCAAAACAGAGCAGATCTGAGCAATTTTATCTGTGAAGTGTTGTCCAAATTCTTCATAGTGAGTTAAAATGTTGTCTTCATTATCTTCCTGGGGGCCAGCATGTAATAGACCTTTGACCATTCAAAGTAGCTCCGGCGAGCAATTCTGTGCAGACGCAATGGTGTCAGACAAGAATGACTTCTTTGCTACTTCCACTGCCATGGAATAGGCAGTTCATTTGGCCCGTAGCTCTTTTTGATCAGATTCACTCCACATTTTCTACCATCCTTGCTCAAATCTACGACCCACTTGTTTCATCACCACCAGCTCCCTGATAAACCAGGTGGCCAGTTTGGCTCTACTTTGTGAGAGGAGATGTTTAGGAGCAATCATGTCACTTTCCTCATTCCAGAGATCAATCAGATATTCAACAGAGTAACCTGCCAAGGTGACAGGAAATTCCCCAAGGGCAACCAGGAAACCATTAGGATCCATTAACCTTCTGGAGTGCACTCCCATACTGCAAAGGTTCTGCATTCCAGTGAGTCCAAACTGCACTAGATAATGGTCTGTCCATGACAATGGAACTATATAAAGTTCCTCCACACGCAGGTCACCAACATCTATGCCTATGCAGCAGACCAGGTCTAAAGTATGGCCTGCGGCATGGATGGTCATCACAGAGGTCATGAAGTCTTGAGACAGTCCTGACAGATCTGCCTTGACATGGATATTGAAGTCCCCCAGCATGACAAGCCGAAGGGGACTCCAATATCATACCTGATGCCAGTTCTGTTAGCTCTGGAAAACAGGTTGTCGCGTCACCAAGAGAATACCTATTCTGTCCCATGCTCCTACTTTCAGAAACATTCAAATCCAGGGAACTGGAGAATGTTACATCTGATTAAAAGAATGGAATTATGATAGACCACTGCTACCCCCCTGCCGGCTGTTGCAACCAAGAACCCTGGAGGACAAAGCTGAGTGAGATTAACACCCCCAGCCTCATCCAACCAAGTCTCTGTAATGTAAGTGAGATTAGCATGCTCATGCAGGATCAGGTCCTGGATCGCTACTGTTTTCCCATTCACTGATGTATTTAACAGCAGCACTTTCAACACAGGAATCCTGTCACGAAGGCTAGCCAAACAATTTAAATTTGGGGACAGCTTAGGGGCAACCAATATCCTGTTGTCCTTCCCTGTTATATAGTGCTGAGACATGATAAAAAAGAGCATCTATCATATCTTGGCACAAGCCTTCTTTCCCATCCAGGATGATCTGCTTGACAAAGTAGGGAAATTTTCCTGCCAGGTAAAAGTTGGAAGACTTCTCCCAGTTACACATTGGCTCCCCACATATCATATTAGGCTTCAATACAGAAAGCAAGGTTTGTGTAAGTTTCATCCCCATGGAGTCTGAAAGGAGATGACAAAAATAGGATATGCAACTAGGTATCAGAGTCCCACCTAAGAGGTTTTCCCTGAGGTTCATAGCCTGTCTATCAAGGAGACTGACCATTATCTTTACTTAGCCATTCTACATTCTTCAGGGGAAAATTTATAGGTAATGTCCTCTATTCCCAGAACTAAACAGTTTCATAGAATACCTGTGAGCTTTTAGTTGCTTTGCAAAAGCTGAATGGTGCTTCCGCTCTTGGTCAAGCAGTGTAGTAACTGGAGCAGCGGGAGCACCAATGGCATCAGAGATCTGGGTACGTGCAAGCTCTGTCATCTGAATAAAGGAGAGTAAAATAAAGGTTTCATGATTTAATGTCTAAGAAGTCACAAATTCATAATGTTGACATAAGATTTTTTGACTTCCACCCCTCAAACAGGCAGCTTTTGTTTCACAAGAAGATGCTGTATGAAGCTGACTTCCATTTCCACGTCCCTCACAAGGCCAAGCTTGCCAGAAGTTCTGCAGAATCACCTCGCGACATAAGATTTTTTGACTTCCACCCCTCAAACAGGCAGCTTTTGTTTCACAAGAAGATGCTGTATGAAGCTGACTTCCATTTCCACGTCCCTCACAAGGCCAAGCTTGCCAGAAGTTCTGCAGCAGAATCTCACCTCGCGTATGTGGCGAGCAGCATCTGTGGTGAGCATTGCTGCCTCCACCTGCTGAACTGCAATCTTGCACGTGGTCTCTTGTAGTGTCTCAACTGCTTCCTGTTGTGACTGCACCAGTTGCTGGAGTGATTCTGCATGAGCCTACACAAAGCAATACCACAGTTTTTCTGTTTTAAAAAAGCGTGATCTGAGAAACGTGAATGAAGAAGCAGTAGGGCCAAATTATACACAGGAGAACACCTTAATAATATGGATTTTGTTGCACATAGCAAGGAATATTAGAAAGCATCTCACAAAACAATTTGATTTGAAATAAAATCATTTTTTAAAAAATCATCTTACCCAATAGTGACAGCTACATTTAGAAGTATCTCTAATTAAAATATTATATATAAAACTTATTCTCATCAACATTTTCAAGAAATTAACCCAGTTACTTTGAAGTAATAATGCTAGGAAAAAAAACAGTGCTATTTTTATTTTAATTATTTATACAGTGGTACCTCGACTTACGAACTTAATCTGTTTTGGAACAACATTCGTATGTCGAAAAGTTCGTAAGTCGAAGTACCATTTCCCACTGAAATGCATGGGAATGGAATTAATCTGTTCCAGCATTTCAAAAGTCAAAAAGCAGGGGGAAAGGGCTGGAAATTCCAATTTGCCGCCCTTTCTGCCTGCCTTTTTGACTTCAGAGGTCTCAAACAGCTTCCACTGATGTCGGGGGGAAAGCCCTTTGAGACCTCCGAAAGCGCTGATCCATGGGGGTCCCTGCCGCCGTGATCGGTGCCTTCAGAGCTCTCAAAGGGCTTCCTCTGATGTCGGGGGGAAAGGCCTTTGAGAGCTCCGAAGGCAAAAAGGCAGAGAGAAAGGGCTGGAAATTCGAATGCCCTCGATGTCAGGGGGACTGATGATCCATTGATTGCATTGTGCTTGAAAGAGAATGAAAAATCTGCAACTTTTTTTTTAAAAAACTTATTTTATTTATCTTATAGCATGTATGTATTAATATTTGCTAATGCAAAAGTGTCATAGACTGCTGAGAGATTAAAATGATCCTCCCAGTTTCAAAATTGTCCTCATTATGTCATGTTAAATGCAGGATTTGTGCAGAACAAATCTTCCCAAGTCTAAAACAGCTCTTTGTGCAATGATCTACTACTTCCATCAGACAGTTAAGAGCGGTTCTTTGCAGGCCTTTATAAAGATGATATAGTGAGATCAGACTGATGAGTTTTGGGTCTGTGGGCTCTTTGGAAAGTTTCAAAATAATAATCACTTGTGATTTTCTCTATTATTATTTTTCCAAATCATGATAGAAACAAGACAATTATTAAAGGAACTAAGGAGCCACTTTTTTATTACTGAGCCAAAATGTTTGATTTGTTCTACATGGATACCATCCAGACTTGCTGCTTTGTCACTTTTTCAGCTACATATAGCTTTTTCCAATTTATTTGAAGTCATTGGTCTTGTAAGGCCATTGGTCTCCAGTTTCTTTCACGTTTAAGTTACAGTGATGTTCAGATTTAGTATTAATAAATAATCAGCTGTTTGATTCAGGGAAATGTTTGCATAGGTTCAGCCCTTAGATGGGTTGCTGTTATGCTTCTTTAGTTTTCTGGACTTCTGGCTGTTTCTCGGCATGTTTATTTCTTCCTTGAGTTTTATTTAATTATCTCTTGCAGTTTTTGAGACTGAAAAAATTAATTGCTGTTCAGCCAAAAGGATTTCTTCACTCAAATAGTAAACAACAATTATTCATTTGGGCAACTATTTCCAACGTTAGGCCTTGGAGTTGGTTGGTTTTGCATTCTCAGGCTGTGGATGGGATGATCTTTTCACTGTTGCAATGAATTGGTCATAAGCCTCTAGGACTGGACAAATGCTCACTATAATTCCATCCAATGTTGTAATGAACTTTTATTTATTTATTTATTTATTTATTTGTTTGTTTGTTTGTTTGTTTGTTTGTTTGTTTGTTTATACATACCTAACCTATCTGGACTACCAGACCACTCTAGACTGCTTTCAATACAGAATCAAACAATAAAACACAAGAAAGCACACGATTGTTCAATAACAATTACAATAAAATAAAAGATAAAATAGGGGAAAAATAGGAAGAGAAATAAGGAATTAGCTGGAAGGAAGGCCTGGATGTACAACCATGTTTTTAATTGGGTTTTAAAGATACCCAGT